ATTGTCTTCAATGGTTTATACTATGACAAACTTGAGATACAGTTGTGATACAATTTTCTAAAGCATTTTTGGGATGAACAAGAGTGTAATAATTACTGAGACTACATTTGTTATATCTGTAAACCACGTGATATAGCTGAGTTGCACAGGTCATTAAATTGTTGAGTTGAAAACCATCCGATCTGTATGATGATGTCATGTGTTGGTTTTGAAGTATACAAATTTTCGGAGCCCCCCCTCCCAGCGCAACAATTTTTTCAGAGCCCCCCCTTCGGGTGTCTAAAAATTTTCGGAGCCCCCCCTCAATATCTTCATCCCTTTCCTTTCCCTCCCTCTTCTCGTTTTTCCTTTCTTTTCCTTCTGTAGTGGAATTTTCGTGCTTAGGAAACGTAACAAACTCGCTTTTGCCTGACCCGATTCCAATCAATCTTGAGCTGTAATTTCCGGGATACATGTTTTCAAGACTCCCGATAAAATTGTTTCCAATGAATTCTGCCAATCTGTTAAAGTGCTTCATTTTGTATACTTACAAATGGCGTCTTACGTCATTTGGCTTTGAGCGGACCGGCTTGTTGTGGAGAATCTGGTAGCCTGCATTTGTGAAAACGTACTGCGTCAACTGCTTTTTTTATTCTTAGCTCGAAAAAGGAGTGTGTAGACATGGATCAGTAAAACTGGAGATCTCAAACACTAAGTAGAAAAACAACAAATGATTTTTCCGCCAGGGTATTATATTATGACTCTGTTTTTGTAGGAAAGAATTAACATTCATGTCACTAAGGCGGTCTCAACTTCTTCTATGACTTTAAAAGAAAACTTGAAATATAACCATCCCCTCGAAAAAGAATTTATAGCCTCCCCGCTCCAACAGCTGCAACCTACCGCATTAGTAGGCCTTTTGTTTAGTAGTAGCGCTACTTGAGGGCGTTTTCTCTTTATGCTGTGATTTTTGAAATTATATACACTTAAGACAAATTCACTGCACGCGAGAAAAAAAAACACTGGTACATAGTGTATGTTTAAGTATGATTAATTGGAAACAACAATTCTGTCTTTGATCATAGTGCAGTGAAAAAAATCGGTCTCCCGCTGTGTGATCGTCGGAGCAAATTAATCACTGGTATTTATATAGACTTGCCTACAAGTCGAGCTCAAATTTTTTCACGAGCGCGAAGCGCGACGGGTAGATTTCTAATGTTTCCTGCGGCAAAGGCGAGAGAGAGAACGAGAGCTCGACTTGTGTCCCCTGCAAAAAATCGCATCAAGTGACGTCATTTTGGCGCGAACCATCTGTGTCCCTCTCGTATGTATCGTTGGGTGCGTGTGCAGTTCCGAGCTGCTGGAGCAGGACATGAGAAGCGAAGGACTTTCAGAGAGTCTAGTATTTATATTGAAACGTGTATATTACAGACACCCAGGGTGGATAACTTCCTTAATCCTATACTGTACGTGACCCGTCCCCTCTTCTTTTGTAACTTTCTGAACGAACCAGTGCGGAAACGCTTGCTTGACAGGCTAAGGAAGTATCACAAGGTTTTTTGCAAGGTATTCTTTTAAGATGCAGCTACCTTGTGGAAACTACTATACAGTTATGAAGTTACTCTGACTGTTGTACAGAATGGCCTCTACCGAACTTCACTATTTTTTGGTGATTTTTCCCAAATGTGTAGTTTAACTTGAGAAACTCCGCCCCGCTCGTCTATTTCTCTCCTACACTGCATCCTACTGAGGAAAGGTTACAACAGTTAGATATTTGTAGGAACGGCAATCGTTTAATTTATAAACTCTCTCCTTTCAATTCTACAGCCAGCGCGTTTTTACATTCCCAAGAGAACACGTTCTAATAAGCGTATTTAACCCTTTTACTCCCAGTAGCCAAAGTAAGAATTGGACAAAATGTCCTTATCTTATTTGAAAACGGTTAAAAACAAATTGTACCAAGTGAAAGTACTGCTGAAGAGGTTTCATTTGAATGTATCCACAGACTCAAAAGTTAGAGCTACATACTAAATAAATAGTACCATGTGAAAGTACTGCTGAAGAGGTTTCATTTGAATGGTCACACCGCAGGATTTCGTTCACAGACTCAAAAGTTAGAACTAGAAACTAAATAAATAGTACCATAAGAAAATTCTGCCAAACAGGTCAGTTGATTTGAATCTTGAAAGGTCACATCATAGAATTTTATCCACAAACCAAAAGTACTGTTGACAAGGTTTTATGTGAATGGTTACACCGTAGGATTTCATCCACAGACTCAAAAGTTAAAACTTCATCTTAAAGGAACAGTATCCCGTTACTGCGCATGCACCAAACTTTGATTTTTGGACAGGATGTCGCGAAATCAAAAGATGCGAGGAGAGTAAGAGAATCTTGAAAAATCCGTTTGCATCGCGCTTGGCNCAGACTCAAAAGTTAGAGCTACATACTAAATAAATAGTACCATGTGAAAGTACTGCTGAAGAGGTTTCATTTGAATGGTCACACCGCAGGATTTCGTTCACAGACTCAAAAGTTAGAACTAGAAACTAAATAAATAGTACCATAAGAAAATTCTGCCAAACAGGTCAGTTGATTTGAATCTTGAAAGGTCACATCATAGAATTTTATCCACAAACCAAAAGTACTGTTGACAAGGTTTTATGTGAATGGTTACACCGTAGGATTTCATCCACAGACTCAAAAGTTAAAACTTCATCTTAAATAAATAGTACCACGTGAAAGTACCGCTGTACATCTACAGTGCCTTGGTAGAACCCCATTTCGATTACTGTAGAATTGTCTGGGCGAATTGCGGCAGAACGCTCTCAGAAAAATTACAAAATCTGCAGAATTGTGCTGCTCGCATTTTGACTTTCTTCTCCTATGATGCTGATGCTGGGTGCTTATTGCAACAACTTGGCTGGAAAGACCTGAATGCCCAGTGTCAAATACAAGTAGCTTTAATGATGTGCAAAGCTCTTAATGATCTGGCTCCTGACAACTCATCCTCTATGCTTACTGAGCGTAGTACGTCAGGCTATGTTTTAAAAGACTCCACAAATAAATTATACTAAGAACCAACTACCTAAAAAGGAGCTTTAGCTATAGAGGTGCAACTCTCTGAAAACTTACCCTCTATGTAAATCGTTTCAAACAATTGTTAAACCTTTATTTTAGAGCCTGTTTACATGGAGTGGGGGACCCCGGTCAAGTGGGGTAGGTTTCTTTTGTTTTGTGTCCCCCAGAGCGTGAAAACAAAAGAAACCAACCCCACTAGATCGGGGTCCCCCACTCCATGTAAACAGGCCCTTAGTTGGATACACGACATTCATGAAATACAGCTAGGTGTAGTTTAGTGTAATTATGAGTAGTATTTTTACTGAAGAGACTTGTTAGATACCTATTTATTGAAATTATTATGTAGTTGTATTTTATATCGTACCAGCCTGATGAGTTTTCAACCAAAAATGGTGTAAATTGAAATTCAGTTGGCATTTGCATTTTGGCAAAACTAACAAGCCGTAGTTCATACTACAGTACATACTGAAAAGTCAAGACTTTTGAAAATTTTAAAGGGACTTCCCTCCTCCAATTATGAATTACACTCTTTCTTTTTTATAGAATATATTTTATAAGAATATAGAGGCTGAAATTTGCGAAATTTTAAAAACATTTTAAAAATAAACCTAAGGCTGAAATTGTGAAACGAATATAATTT